AATTTTAAATTTAATAATTATAAGTTTATTAACTCTTTTATACAAAAAACAAAGAAAGTACAGAAAAATTTGTTGGCTGGTCTCAATTAATCTTAGCTTAAAACATTGATCAATTAGTCAAGAATTGTGCATTGATATATGATGGTCACCTTTTTCTTTTTCCTGCCTACCCAAATAGCCCATCAAGTGTCCCAAATTTCGTCAGCTTGAGCTAGCAGATTTGATGCACCTTGGCTTTTGGTTAATAACATCAAAGTTGGAATAGGACTCTCTAAAATAAAGGAGGCAGAAAGAGAGAAATAGGGGGCTAAAGGAGGAATACGGTCATGCTATCTTAGCCGGCACAACCGCCCATGACTACCCATATAGAAGTTTTTCTTTGTTCATCAAACAGGTGATTTTTTTTTTTTTACAAAAAATTTCGAAATAGACAAATTATTTAATTTTTATATTAAAATAAAATATATTACATTTAATAATTTAAGACAATAACTTTAAATCGTACATTTAAAATAATTTTAACAAATAATCACTAATAATATTTTAACTTAAAATTTTTTTATTAAATAATATAATTATCAACCAATTGAACCAGTAACATGTAATTTCTTCCTTCCAATGCAATTTTGCCGATTGTGTAGTTTTTAATTATCAGACCCAGAGCTTTTTTTTTTTGGCCAGAACCCATAGCATGTTTAACACAAGTTTTCAAATCTTAAATTTTAGGCTTAATACTAAATAAGTTTTAAAATTATCTCAAATTGAATATGACAATAATATAAATTATTTTTAAAAAGGTTCATGGAAAATTAGTAATTTAGTCGAAAATTTAACCTTTTTTTTTTGGATGTTAATCCAAGAACACATTCATATTAAATCTATAGATACAAATATGTGGCCTAAATTCCGGTAAGGGTATTGTTAGCATATATTAACAAATTATAATGGAATTTCAACTTGGGCTATTAAAATAATTTTTTAATTTTAATTTAAAATATTAATATTTTAATATTTTGTAAATATTTGAATCTCTCAAATGTTGGATAAAATTAAAAAAAAATCAATTCGGCTTGACTCAGTGACACTTTTAATCCTTTACAATTTCTATTATTTTTACATAACTAAATCTTTCTATGAAGTTTTAATGGAGATTTTTTTTTCTTGACAAACCTAAGCAATTGTATAATGAAGATTTAATGGAGGTTTTAATGGAAATTTCAAACCTAAGCAATTGCGTAAACAACCCAGGCTGCTTTTTTCCAGAAGCAACTGTAAGAAGGCACGTACTTCTTTTCTTCACCCTGCATAAAGAAGGAAATGAAAGGGAAAATGGGCCAATAAAAAAACCGCACAAAGTTGAAATGTTTCAACAACAATATATTGGAATCATATAGTACATTAACTTTTAATGACTAATGAAAAAAAAAAAAAAAAAAAAAACCTTTTGATGACTGGTAGTTAAAAGGTTAGCTTTATATCTACTAATTTTCAAAGGTGGAATAGTAAAAAGTTTGGAGTTTAATTAAGTCATTTAATGTAATTATTTTTGTGATGTGATATATATATTTATTTATTTTTTAGGTTACGTATTTTTTAAAAAAATATCACAAAAGTTTATAGAAATAGAAAAATATCATAGACTAGGATGATTGAATTCCTATGAAGGGGAGACAAATGTTGGGATGACCATGTCAATCATATTTGCCACATACACATATAGTCTATTGAGTATATATCCCCTCTAATTTCTTTGAAAAATCATTGATATGAAAGCACAACAACATTTTTCCCAAATTTGTGAAGCATTTAGCAAAGAGATTTCTAGTGCTTAAACTTTTTCATTTAAGGACTTATTATTTTATCATAAAATTAAAAAAGTGGATGATTACAATATGACGTCATGCATGCCAAGGCATGGGTAATGGATCAAAATAATACTAAGCAACAATGTGTAATGGTAATATAGTTATAATTACCAACATACAATGGGGTTAGTTTGGGGTTTTCAACTTGAATAAAAAAGGACAAATGAAAAAGTTGGTTTTTTTATTTTATTTTATTTATAGAACAAAGAAAATGCATTAAGCGGGACCTTTATTGCACTAATTTGACGAGCATTATTAAATTTCCCTTTTTTTTTTTCTTTAATAAAGGAAAGTGGCATGGGTTCTTCATACGCCAACCATACCAAAAGCAAATAAAAAAAGAAAAAAAACATATTCTCGCATGGAGATGAGTCCTAAATGACGATGAAGAAGAAAAATGTCTACTCTTATCCTTTGCTTTTAGTGACTACTTTTTAAATTCATTTAAATGAGATATTTAATGATTTAAATTTCATTTATAAAGTTTTAAATTTTTTTTGATCGATTATCGAATGATGATCTTCAAAATTTTCATTACATATAAGTTTGTATATTTTGTTCAGGTTGCCAAAATTTTCTTTTAACAAATGAGAAAATTTGTATTTATATTATAATATCATAATAGTGTTCAAGCAGAATTGGTTAGACTTTTTTATTCAACAGAAAAGAAAAGAAAAAAAAAACCCATAGAAAAGGCCAACTGCAAAATAATAGTAATAGTATAAAGAAGGGAGAACAAATTTGGAAAAAAAAAAGAAAAAGGCTCATCTTTCGGCACACCTTGGCTTGGCGGTACGCAGTCACCCGCACCTTTGTAGATGTTATCTTCTCACCAAATTTAATGCCAAACTAATGCTACCAAACCCACCTTACCGGCAAAAAATGTTCATGGGACATGCCATGTCACACCACTCCTTTTTTTTTTTTTTTTAAGATGGGTTACGCAGCTTAGGCTTTGAGATTTATTTTTCAAATTTCAAAATCAGTTTATGTTTAAAATAATTAAAATAATTATTTTTTATAATGTTAAAATTTAAAATTATTAAATAATATTTTTATAAATAATTATATAAATTAATTAAATTAAAATAGTTATTTGAAGTTTGAAGTATAGGGATCCATCATTAGAGTGGTACAAAACGATAATTACGAAAGATTATGATTTTTTTATAACTGAAAAGAAGATCCAAAACTAGTACAAAATTACCAACCGTCCTAGTAGAATCTATGTGATAGATTTTATTATGAAATGAAGTGAATTGATAATGGATTGTCTTGTTTGCATTTTTTGTTTTATTTTACTGGATTCTTATGAATCATAATATAAATTTGATAATTTATATATTTATATTATACTTATTTTTATAGTAAATATATATAAAATATTATATATTTATTTTAAATTTTTATTAAACAGTTATTTTATATTATTTTAATATATTATTTTTTTACGTTTCTAAAATTGATAAGTTTATGTTTAGGGGACTAATGTAGCGGAAAGTCCTCGTAACACTTGCATTCATTTTAATTAGAGAAGGTAAAAAAATTAATATTCTATAGGTTTTAATTCGATTCGATTTTTTAGGGTTAATTTTTTTTTTTTGAAAATTGAGTATCAGGTCAGGTCGAATCGAATAGTATGAAAAAAAAATCAGGATCAGGTTTTAGGTAAATTCGACCCGATATATATATAAAAATAATTTTTTAATTACTTATTTATTTATATATTTATTATATAATGATATTTTTAAAAATAATATTTTATATTTTAAAAAATAATATTTTATTAATTTTTGGTCGAATCAGGTCGGATACAATTTATATAGTATCGGATTGAGATCGGAGTCGGATTCGGATATAAAAAAACAAAAAAAATTTCAGTTAAAGTCAGGTTAAGGGCGGGTTTAGTTTAGAGAGAGCAAAATTCGTCTCGAACCCGATCCGATATCAACTCTAATCCTAACTCTAAATATAATTTTTTTTAATTTATGTGTTGGAAATTTCTTGCAAATTAAGAAGGAAAAATTTCCATTAAATAAAAACGAGCATTTAAATAGAAAAAAAAAAGTGTGCAAAGGTATAAAAAAGCCCAATCAAGAAATTGTAAAAGGATTTTCCAAAGATCGGGTCAAAAGAGACCCGCAAACCTGACCCAGTAGACTGATCAAATTCTAGAAGTTGTCAACGGAACGTGTCTTACACGCAGTTAGAAAATGCGTGTTAGAGTTAGTTAATAAAAAATGGAATGACGCAAATCCTTCCTTATTACCCAACATCATCCATAGACTTAAAAATACTACAACTGTGATTAGATTAACTAAGCTCTGATTTATTTAAAATATATTTATTATTAATATTTATTTTCATATTTAATGCAAGTAACTCATTCATTGCGTCATAATAATTCATCTACATTTAATAAATGCTAAGGTTGAAATTGACTTTATAATTTTTTAAATTATTATAAAACTTAGTGAATTTTTTTCCTTAACAAAAATTTTCAAGTAGACAAATTATTTTATGATTTAGGATAAAATATGTCATTTTATTATACTTTATAAAATATCATGTATTTGAGATTAGTTTTGTTTTTTGTAATATTTATGGAAAAATGTTATTAAATTCGTTGTCTTCTTTTTATTAAATTAAAAAAATGCATTAATGGAATTTTTTTAAATATATATATTTTTTGTATTTAAGATTTTTTTGTCTATAAATGCATATGAGATTTTCAATAAAAAAATCACTTAGCAAAATTCTTACTTTTAACTAATCTTAAAGAATACTTAAAAACAGTAGTTAGAAAGGATTTTTTAATTATTCTCAAACTTTGTCTATAAAATTATTAATCGAACCCGTTTTGTTTTATATTTAATATTATCAAAAATTAAATTTTCAACATTCAAACTAAAAAAAAATAACTCTTATGAAGAGATCACAAAATATTGAATTTCAGTACGAAAAATATTACTTCATATTTAAAGTCAAATTAAAAATTTAGAAAAGAATTGGTATGTGATAAATGCATGGCTCTTAAGTATATTCATAATATAAAATTTTAATATTCAATATGCATTAAAAAATGTAAAAACTTTAACCATGGATGCTGACCAATGAAAAGAGAAAGCTTTTAAGAGAGAGGACGTAAGAGAAATAAAAAAAAAGAATAAATAAAAAGAAAAAGAATAATGAGCAATCAGGTACAAATTTCACTCAATAAAATACAATACCGACAAACCTTGATTAATCAAACGTTCAAATAAAGAAGAAAAGCAAAAGAAGAGAGAGAAATATTATTATAGTATTTGAGAGAGAATAAGGAAGGAAGGGAAATGAAAGAAGACAGAAGAGGTGATAGAATAGTAAGGGAGGGAAAAGAAAAGAAAGAAAATAAGAAAAGGGGAAAGAAGAGTGTTGTTGTTGAGACAGAGAGTGCAGAATTGACGGAAATGCGTGCTGATTCCGGTAGAAAGGGAACCTTCTCCGTACTTCTTCGGATCCTCATTTTGCCTCTTATTTATTCTTCTTCTTCATTGCTTTAATCATTTTTATTCTTCTCTTTAAATCACTAAAAGGCCTTTTTTTTTTTTGTTCTCTTGCTTGCCTTATTTAATACGTAATATTTCTTATTGTTTCTTCTTCTTCCTATTCTTGTGGGTTTTTCTAGTGCTTGAATTTTCGTTCTCTCTAGATTTGGTTTGAAAAACTAAAAAGTAACACCCACTATAAGTCACAGGGATTTTGATGCTTGAATCAATCTATGGATGCATTCTTGATAAATCTGTGATTGGTTAAGCTCTGAATTTCTGGGATATTTCTGGGTTTTTTTTTTTCCTTTTTTGGGTCAAATTTATGTTGGATTTTTAAAATTTAGGGTTTATATTATTGTCGTTGAATTCGTGATTGGGGAATTTGTTGGCTTCTTATTTATATTGTTGTTGTGATTTTTGATGTGTAAATAATAATACTGTTGTTATGAGATTTGTGATTTAGTAAAAAAACAAATTAGCTTGTGGGCAAGATTTTGATTTAGTTTCCTCCTTGGAAATATTTTGTGATTCCTCGGAGGATTTTAATTTCATTTTCCTTTTATTGACACCTTTGAGAAAAGAAACAAAAAAAAAAGGTCAAAATCAATCAATTGTAAGCTCATAAAAACACATACCCTAAAAAATCAATTAAAACTCACCATTTTTATTGTGGGTTTTTATTATATTTCCAATATTTCTATATCAAACTCAAGATTTTTTTTTCTTAAATACTGATTTAGAAGAATAACAACAAGGAGAAAAGAGGGAGATAGGAATTACGGTGGGGGTTGTTTGGGATTCTTATGGGAATACCTGATAGTTCACTATTAGAGCTAATAGAAAAAGTTAGGTCTTGGATTTCATGGGGAGCAAGTGATCTTTCCTGTTTCGCTGGAGAAGAATTTGAGATGCTTGAAAGCTGTGTTTGCAAAAAAATGTGTTGTTGTGAATGTAATGTGAAGTTTGTTGATGAATTCTCTCATAGATACCGTTGCCAAAGTTGTAGCCGTTGGCTATGTTCTAAATGCGTTGAAGGATATGAATCACCTGTTGTTGTTGATCTATCTGAGAATGTAAAGGATAATGATTTTTCTAAGATGATAAGTGTTAAATCTTGCAAGTTTTGTTGTGATGGGGCTAACACCAGGCGTGAAAGTGGGGGAAGGAAGTATTGTGAGAAAGTACATCCTTCTGAGTCTCCCCGGGAGAGCCCAGAACCAGCATCCCCTTATTCTGTGAATAGTGAATCTGTCAGGAATGATCATCTTGCCCAATATCTTGAAGCCCGTGATTGCAGGATTTCTCTACATGGGGTAACTGGCAAGAGTATGAGTTCATTTAGTTCTCATCTTTCTCCAGTATCTACTCGGGGATCTCCCACCAGGTATACTTTTGCTTAGCCGTGCTGGAATATTCATCTTTTTTTTTTGTATATAGGAGACATTCCATTAACCTCCTAAAGTTAGTTTTGTTCTTAACCTTGTTTTTAATCATGTTTTCCTCCTGGTTGTGAATGTGTTGTTATTTGTCTATTTACTGGTGTAGGAGTGATGAGGAAGATGCTGATGATTCTGATAAGCACTTTTTGAGCCTTTTGGCTGGATATTGTCAAGATGTTTCAGATATAGATTCAAGTAGTATTAGTGTTAGACATGATTTCTGCAGTTTTAAGTCTGTGGGATCAAGTCCTTCGGTCAGCCCCTCTAGGAACAATTTTACTCCTTATAGGGTTGGGCGTTCTGTACGGTGGAGGCTAGAAGGGAGCCCAATGGCTCAGTATGTTGGTCCCTTTCATCAAGAAAGCATGGCTGTTTTGAGAAAGCCAGGGACAGGGATCGATGAACCAGAGAATACTGATGATTACTCTGATGACATGTCTATTTTTCATAATCAATATGCAAAGTCACAAAAGCCGTTGGATTTTGAAAACAATGGTCTAATATGGTTTCCCCCACCACCTGAGGATGAGAATGATGAGGCAGAGAGTAACTTCTTTACATATGATGATGAAGATGATGATATTGGGGATTCTGGTGCAATGTTCTCATCAAGTACTGGCTTTTCAAGTATGTTCCCAGCAAGGGAGAAACAAAATGAGGGAAACAAAGAACCTCTCAGAGCTGTAATACAGGGGCATTTTAGGGCTCTTGTGTCGCAACTTTTACAGGGTGAGGGTATCAAAGTTGGTAAAGAGGATAATGGTGGGGACTGGCTTGACGTTGTCACAGCAATAGCATGGCAAGCTGCAAATTTCGTTAAACCAGATACTAGCAGAGGAGGCAGTATGGATCCCGTGGATTATGTGAAGGTTAAGTGTATATCATCAGGAACTCCCAGTGAGAGGTGTGGGCTGCGTTCACTTTCTTCAGATATTCTAAAGTTCAAATGTTCTATTGCTTTTCCCTTTGGGATTCTTATTAGAAGTTCTTAACTTGTGAATTTCATCATTCTTGCAGCACCCTTGTCAAGGGAGTGGTCTGTACCAAAAATATCAAACACAAGCGGATGATCTCTCAATACAAAAATCCTAGATTACTTCTTTTAGGAGGATCCCTTGAATATCTGAAAGTTCCAAATCAGCTGGCATCTTTTAATACATTACTTCAACAGGTTTGTTCAAAAAACTTGTTCCATTTTTGCAGATTAATAAAAGGTTTTCCATGATTGAAACAAATTGCATTTGTGTTTGTTCTGTGTGCATGTGTTCTAAATGTTTGCCATTTGGACAGGAAAATGATCATCTCAAGATGATCATTGCAAAGATTGAGGCTCTTCGCCCCAATGTTCTACTGGTAGAAAAGAGTGTGTCTTCGTATGTCCAAGAGTATCTACTTGCAAAGGAAATTTCATTAGTACTCAATGTGAAAAGGACATTACTGGAGCGTATAGCAAGGTGCACTGGTGCTCTTGTTTGTCCTTCAATTGATAATTTATCTACTACACAATTGGGGCATTGTGAACTCTTCCGGTTGGAGAAAGTATCTGAAGAACATGAGATGGCCAAGCAGTTTAACAAAAAACCATCGAAAACGCTTATGTTCTTTGAAGGCTGTCCCAGGCGTTTAGGTTGCACGGTAATGTTTTCTATTTATGCATATGATTCATCTGTTATGTCACTTAAATTGTGTAAATTTTGAACAATGTAAGCTCCCATCTTCTTTTGTAGGCATGATATGGTATACATTGGGTGTCCACATTTTAAATTATGAGTATTTTGATGCTTCAGTTGCTTCCAGTCCTGAAACTCCTGTGTTTCCATCATTTCAATTAATTTGGCTTTTTCTTCTCTGTGGCACAAACATTTTTACCTGAGGTCTTTCCAAATATTTTTGTTTTAGATTTTGTTCCCTTTCTATGACAACAATAGTATGGTTCCGTGGCTCTTTTTTCTTTTTCTAGTAAATGCTTTCATGCCCTTCCCTCCCTCTGTCCCTCTGTTTATGTGTGTGTTTGTCACTATGATACCATTGGAAATTGAGTGATTTGATTATATCTGAGTTATTGTGCCACAGTTCTAGTTACATATTTAGTGCTGAAAGTGGGAAAAGGAGAAATGTGTTGAAAGATTAGATGTAATTTATTTCCATGTTGTTTGTCCTCTCTTTCTGATCATTATAGGCTGTTGAGGAGTGGTAATTGATCTGCTTTTGTGTATGGTTAAAATAGCATTGGGCTAGTAAATGCATGGACATTTGCATGTTTGATGAAATAGAATGCCAATCTTTCTTGTAGGAATGTATTCATGGATCTGTATTTGAATGAAATATATGTGATATTCATGCCAGAATCTTCCAAAGATGTTTAGCATGATTGTTTCTAATTACATTGCTTTGTTTCTCATTATAGGTCCTGCTGAGGGGAAGATCTCGTGAAGAACTAAAGAAGGTTAAACATGTTGTCCAGTATGCTGTTTTTGCAGCTTATCACTTGTCTCTTGAGACTTCCTTCCTTGCTGATGAAGGTGCTACTCTGCCTAAGATGAAAGTAAAACGTTCTATTGCTGTACCAGAGAAAATGCAGGCTGACAATACCGATTCAGTTATACCTAGTTCCTTTTCTCCATCCAATTTGAATGCAATAGTCAATGCTTCTACTCAGAATGATGCATCTCTAAGTCTCAATCCCGAGCAAGGAGGATTGGAATTGTTGTCCGAGCAGTATGGTCAAATTAATTTTTTTCCTTCATCTGGTGGTTCTGTTCTTGATGCATTGACTGATGATTTGGCACCTATTGCGGGTTTAGACATGTGTTCTTTGGAACAATTCAAGGATTTGAAGATGTCCACTATGTTGCCTTGTGATATTAGAGATTTTCCACGATCTGAATTGCAGGAAACCATGACTGAAGAGGAGAGACATCATGGTGAGATTCATGAATTGGCAAAATCTGAAAAGATTGATGAAGATGAAGCTTCCAGCGAATACTTTTCAGCCACTGACACTTACCAGAGTATATTGGTTTCATTTTCAAGCCGATGTGTTCTGAAAGGAACTGTATGTGAACGTTCACGGCTCCTGCGAATAAAGTTTTATGGCTCTTTTGATAAACCACTGGGAAGATATCTTCGTGATGACCTGTTTGATCAAGTAACTCATTTGAAACCTTGCATGTCTTCATTTGAGATTAGTGGTTCTATGTTTCTATTATTTAATTTAATATGTTTTCTTTACAGGCAACTTGCTGCCGTTCATGTAATGAGCCAGCTGAAGCTCATGTCATATGTTATACCCACCAGCAAGGAAATCTGACAATCAATGTAAGACACCTTTCCTCTCTTAAGCTGCCTGGTGAACGGGATGGGAAGATATGGATGTGGCATCGATGCCTAAGGTGTTCTCATATAGATGGTGTTCCTCCTGCAACTCATAGAGTAGTTATGTCTGATGCTGCCTGGGGACTTTCTTTTGGAAAGTTTTTGGAGCTTAGTTTTTCAAATCATGCCACTGCTAATCGTGTTGCAACCTGTGGTCATTCATTGCAGAGGGATTGCCTTCGATTCTATGGGTAAATGCTGTAAAGTTTTAAATCTTTAATCTTCTTTGACAGTTAAGTATGATGTTGATAGTTATGAGTAGTATCATTTCACAGATTTGGCAACATGGTTGCATTCTTCCGCTATTCCCCAATCGACATACTGTCGGTACATTTGCCCCCATCAATGCTTGAATTTAGTGGAGACGTTCAGCAGGAGTGGATTAGAAAAGAGGCAGCTGAGGTTTGTTATTTATTTTTCCTCTTGTTCTTCTGCCAGTGAAATAGGCATATTCTGAACTTACTGACTATTCTGTCTCCTTCTATAGCTAATGCTCAAAATGGAAATGTTGTATGGGGAGGTATCTGATGTACTTGACAGCATTGAACAGAAGAGTAATTCTGCCGGTTGTCAATCCTCAAATGCAAGTGAGTTACCATATCACATTATGGAACTGAGAGATCAGATTCGAAAGGAGAGAAATGATTATAATGTAAGCCCACTGAATATTAGTTACTGATACGATCTTGAAGGTTACTTGGTAGTATGTATGCAGTATTATGTGTGTATCTCTGTTATCTTCTAACTGTGCTGTTGAAAGATGAATTTTATCATTTACTGGTTTCTTTGTTTATAGAGTTTGCTACAGCCAATTGTTATGGAGACTTCACAACTGGGTGTAGCAGCTGTGGACATCCTAGAACTGAATTGCTTAAGGCGTTCGCTTCTAATTGGTTTGCATGTTTGGGATCAGCAACTTCATTCATTGGACTCTCTTTTTAACAAGGGTTCTGCTGTCAAAGCTGACGTGGATCATTTGAAGGATGGGAAACTTGATGCTCATGAACAAAATGCCTGCAGATCCTCTGATTCACAGCAGCCTCCTAAGAATGACTTACAGTTGGAGCAGAATTCTGGTTTACCAACCTTGGATTCTGTTGTGCCGGAAGAATCTGACTTGGCATTATACAATCAAAGGAGAGAGGAGAATAAGCAGCCAGATGAAAGCATCCCTTCTCCTGTATCTACTCTATCTGAAAGAATAGATTCTGCTTGGACCGGCACTGATATACTTGCATTGAAAGTTCAACCTCCAGAAGCATTTCAGGGTGATGGGGCCCAATCTGGTTTGATCAGGCCAACAAATAAAATCTATAATCTTGCTTTGAGAAAGGTAGCATTCCCAAGGAGGCTTCATTCTTTTGATTCTGCATTGAGATTCGAAGAAAGAAGTCAGAAAGGAATGTATCCCTCTTCATTGCATTTGTCTACGGTTAGATCTTTCCATGCTTCTGGAGATTACAGGAGTATGTTTAGAGATCCCGTTTCTAATGTATCAAGGACTTACTCCCATATATTGCCACTAGAGGAACAAAAGTTGAATTTATTACTCAGTTCCACGCCCACTTTAATCACCTCTGCATCTCATGTGGCTGAAGGGGCTCGGCTACTTCTTCCGCAGAGGGGCCATAGTGATATTGTTATTGCTGTTTATGACAATGATCCTGCAAGTATAATATCATACGCTCTTAGTTCCAAAGAATATGATGAGTGGGTTACTGATAAGTCCAATGAAATTGGAGGAGGCTGGAGTGTTAGTGAAAGGAGCAAAGAAGATTCTGCAACTTCCAGCTTTTCACCCTGGCAGCCATTTGGCTCTCTTGACCTGCTTTATAGTCATTATGGAAGTTTTGGCTCTGAAGATTCCACATCATCTGTGGGTGCCATGTTTCCTGATACGAAAAGGTCTCCACATTTAACAGTTTCTTTTGGAGATGATTCTTCTGCTGCTGGTGGCAAAGTGAAGTTTTCTGTTACTTGTTACTTTGCAAAACAATTTGATTCTCTTAGAAGAAAATGTTGCCCTACTGAAGTGGATTTTTTGCGTTCCTTGAGCCGCTGTCAGAAATGGAGTGCACATGGGGGAAAGAGCAATGTGTATTTTGGCAAATCATTAGATGAGAGATTCATTATAAAACAAGTAAAAAAGACTGAGTTAGAATCGTTTCATGAATTTGCTCCGGAATATTTCAAGTATTTGATGGATTCTCTTAGCTCAGGAAGCCCAACTTGCCTTGCAAAAGTTCTTGGTATTTATCAGGTTTGTCCTCGTACTTTATCTTTTGAAGGCATTGTTTCTGTGCGTCCAGTTAGCTTGTGTAGGACTAATATTTCAAGGTTTTATTGTAATTCTTTGTGGTTGGCTCGATGATAGGTCTCTGTAAAACACCTGAAAGGTGGCAAAGAAACAAAAATGGATCTTATGGTGATGGAGAACCTATTTTTTAGAAGAAGTATCTCAAGGATTTATGATCTTAAGGGCTCTGCAAGATCACGATACAATCCAGATACAACAGGGGCAAACAAAGTACTGCTAGATATGAATCTTTTAGAAACACTGCGAACCGAGCCTATTTTTCTTGGAAGCAAGGCAAAGAGAAGTCTCGAGAGAGCTATGTGGAATGATACATATTTTCTGGCAGTAAGTTGCTTTTACCATTAGAACTTGTAAAAATGCTTCATCATCTTTCAAATTATTCATGGTCTATGTTGAAGTAGGAATAAGTTTTGAATGTGATGCTGTAACCAAAATCTTCATGATGTTATGCAAGTTCATCCATAGGATTTAAGATTCTTTTTCCTATTTGCGTATTATATATTGAATGTCTTTTGCTGTGCTTTTCAGTCAGTCGATGTCATGGATTATTCATTGCTGGTTGGAGTGGATGAGGAGCGCAAGGAGCTGGTTTTGGGAATTATTGATTTCATGAGACAATATACCTGGGATAAGCACTTGGAGACATGGGTTAAGGCATCTGGGATACTCGGTGGGCCAAAGAATGCATCTCCAACAATTATTTCTCCAAAACAGTACAAGAAAAGATTCCGGAAGGCTATAACTACTTATTTTCTCACAGTACCTGATCAATGGACTTCATGATCTGTATCATCATTGATTCATTGGTTCATTAATAAGGCGTAAGAAATTGTAATTGCTGACATAAATGAAACGGCCAAAAGCTCTCTCTCCCATGGGTATTGTTCTCTTTGATCCTCGTCTTTTTCTTTCCACAAAATCATTTCATGGTGGGTAGAATTGGCCTACAACTAAAAAATCTACAACTACAAGTGGAGGGGGGAACAAAGTTTTCTTTTTTGAGGGCTCTTTTTTATGACCTCTGAAGAAAGGGAAGAGTTAAGGGCTCTTGTGTAATGTTTATATTTTCTCTCTAATCTTGTGGATGTGCAAAAGTTTTCCTGAAGAAACAAAGGTTCTTTTTCAACTTTAACACGACTTCATTAGAGCTTTTATATTTTTGACTCTTTAGGAAGCAGCAGGTGAAGGAAACTTGGACCTTAAAGTTGTTCATCCATGTGCATGTAAAGCTCTAAGCATTGGTTGAGTTTGAGTAGCAAATTTTACATGTCAAATTTAGTTGGGAGGTTTGGAAATGGTTTGTCTAAAGTCTAAACTTTTTTTTTTTTTTTATATTTGAGTGTCAGGATTTGAATTGAATTCTTATTATTAAACAAAGAATCAAGCACTTCATTAACAGGTCAAGTGAATGTTGGCAAAGTCTGAACATTGTACCTGTACATTTATTCGAGTAGTGTCATAAGTAAAATTTGAAACCAAGCTTTCCCAAGACAGGTGAAGCTTCTAACGTGAGATTTGATAATTTGTGTTGAGGTGCTAGGCATTGAACGCTTCTTAAACTTGCATTTCACCTCACTTGTGAAAAATAATCTAAACATGTTTCTTTAAAGCAACAGAAGAACAGTGCGAATTTTCCTATCCTTGCTACTAAATTTTATGTTTTTTTTTTTTCTTTTGTAGTTTCATTCCAGCTTCAGAAACCTTATTTTAAAAAGACCCATAGACAATTGATTTATATAAAAGTTTCTGTTCCTGGATGCCTTTAAAATTTAAGTTTTGAAGGAAAAGGGGAGACAATAATACACATTATAAGTTGGGTTTATGTTACTTGTGAGAACACTACTTCTCTTTCACAAAAGCATATAGCTCTAATAACAGGAGTATTACTACTTTTTATTATTTTTAGTATTAAAATTAATTAAATTACTATTTATAGTGATATTTTATATTAATGTAATAATTAATGATTAATATAACTGCATCGACAATTGTGACTTATCTAATATGATCATAACCTCAATGCTTTTAAAGCACTCGTCAGCAAAACCATTTTATTTATTCACCAATAGCAATTGACCTTCGAAAGAATAAGCCCTCCGTTTCTAATGTATCTATTTCAAATAATTCAATCTTTTTTGTTTTCGCCGCATGTTATTGTCTTCATAATTTATTTTTTTTTTTTGAAAATTAAGATTTTCAAGCTTTGTTGTGGTTTTCTTTTTGACACTATATATGTTGTTTTTTCTTTTCGTAATGGTTGACTTTTATTCCATGTTTCTATTTTATTTTTTACTAATATTGTCAATGCTCTTAAAAATAATTTATTTAACCACGGTCCAAAATTACTTATAATAGAGTTATAGTTTATCTTGAAGATTAATTTAAAAAATTTATTCGTAAATTACTAATTATTTTTTAAAAAATATATAACTAGAAAAATTAGTTATTTAGGTTCTGTTTCGTTTATATTTATACTTTTTATTTTTTACCTTTAATCTTTTTATTGAAAAATAAAAACTTAAAAAAGTAGTACCAAACCATATTTGAGTGGGTAAACTTAGCTCTTGCCCCCAAAAATTAAAGAAAAGATACCATAAAACAGTTTTGATGAAATATATATGATTAATATATATATATATATATATATATAAAGAGAGAGAGAGAGAGAGAGAGAGAGAGAGTCATTGCAGAAGTTTTCCATAATCATCCCAGGCAAAGGGTTACATCTCTCATTCTAAGCTCTTTCATAAATTCCCTAAAAAGCTTGAAAGTAGCTAAATTTGTTGTATGTACACAAAAACAACTGATCAAGCTAGGAGAGGATGTGGAAAAACGACTATGGAGTATATATGAAACTTCTTCCATTGCTTAATTTGCTCTTATTTATTTAGAATACGTAATTTCTCGTCTTTGGATTTGTTAAGAACTAACTGCTATTTGGCTCCCTCCTTCATTGATTGGCATGAAGCTCACCCTTTTCTGTGATGAACAAACAAAACAAAACAAAATTTTGAGTAAGTTTCTGATCATTCCATTATATTAATCAAACAATTCAATTTGAAAATACTGATGAACCATATGGAATTGAAAAATTGCATAGTATAGGAATTTTTCTCTATGATGATTTTCAACTTGTTTTTTTTTCTTTTAATTATATGCATCGCAAGACAAGACGCGCGTGCATGTCTAGAAAGTTCAAACAGATTAAAGTCAATAAATCATTTAGTTTAGTCAATTATTTTTCATAAATTTTCTTCCCTTGAATGGTCATGGGAAATGACGTGATGAAGAAAGGGTAGACTGTGATAATTAAAATTGTCAAACAACGTATAATAAAATTTTATAGTATACAGAAAGAAAGGAAAGGTTGATCTCTTCAGTCCAAAAGTTTGTAGGTTACCCTTTATTCCTCATTTGGATTTGATAGATTTATCGAGCGATAAACAACGAATCTTGGACTTGGTTCATATATTGATCAGCTGTTAAGAAGACTGTACCAGGACAGGGTTCAAGGTTTTTTTTTTTTTGTATAAAAAGATTACAATATAAGGATAAAGAAAGCAGTTCCAATTGTTAGAATTTGAATCTTATATTATATGTTATTTTTTAAAAAATGATTATATAAATCAATGAAGCTAATCTCTGAATTAATTTAAATCGATATATATTCTCTCCTATGACAAATGATATTATGAACTTCTTTTTATTGAAGATTAATATAACCTTGCTCTTTGGTCAAATTCACATGAGTCTAGATTGATGTGGCATGGAACCAGAGCTAGCTTAAGTTTTGATACAAGTCAATATAAGCCATAAAATCAAATCAGATGCATCTATTTGTAGGGCCAAGATCCAAAATTTTGGTTTTAGAAACATCCAAGGATGAGATGAAATGCATTGAAAACCTTGATTTTTTTGCTTCAAAAATCAGAATTCAAAACCATGTCCTCGACGACTTGAAAGTTAATAAGAGAGAATTCAGGGGACCCAAACAATGAATAGAAAATATGTGAAGCAAAATCTCGAGTCCTATAAAATTCATTTTCTAATTACTAGTACTTTGTTGTGGTCCACCGACTTCACAAAATCCTCTCAATTCCTATTACGTACGTCATACCATTCATAATTCGCAACTAAACTGATAACAAATAAAAAATGTCAACTTCTATCACCATATTTAATGACCGTCTTGTTTAATATTAAAAAATTGGGGAGAAAAACAAAAAAAACCAATGAAAAATACCATGAAAACAGGATCATTGTCTGATGAAACTAACCTCACGGGCCTTCATACCTGCTCCGACGTCACTTCCATGGCTACCCTTCCAATGCACTTGTTGCTGCATAAACATGCCATCCTTTCCATTCTGCGTAGCTTCACGTGGGCTGTTTCTGGTATTTGCCATGCAAAGTTGCATGATTTTCTCTGCTGCCTCTGCCTCATTTTTGCTTTCTTTCATCAACCTGTCCACTTCTGCCTTGGATAGCCTCATCTTTACCCTCATTGCTCCACTCTTAGACCCTCCTTCTTCTTCAGACTCCTCGGGTGTTACACTTTTTGGTTTCATGAGTGTGAGATCAGATACAGACCTCCTCGACAGCATCAGGCTCTCGAGCCTGTCTTTAGCACTCATGTTTATACCCGACCAAACCTTTCTTGGAACTCGTTCTTTGGGAGCTTCTGGCAACACTACCAAGAAGTAAAGCCTCTTGGGCACCAAGTTCTGATGTGGCTGCAAAGGCTTAGCTCGAATACCAAAATGCTTAACAGCTTCCGATTCTAGCAAAACATGTCCTGGATAATCTTTCACCACCTCTTCAGCTTTCACCGGGGTCTTCAACTTGAATGTTTCCCCGTTTATCTTCATGACCTTGGTAGTCTTTTTCCTACCCAGGCTATTCCCCATTTTCCTACTACTCTGGTTAGTTGTAAGCAGCTAGCAATAATAGCTTTTGTCTCTGACAGAGAATTATTAATTAAACCACAAAACTTGTTTGGTTTCTCTTTGGCCTACTTTAAACCATTTAAGATTTATGGTGGGTGATATATATGATTAGTTGATGCTAGGGGATCACTGGTCAACAAAGAGGGCAAACCTTTTGAAATCGGCCAAAGTTTATGTTTGACAAAACAAAATAAAATGGGACGTAAGTTATCGCTTTCAATAAAAAATTACTATACATAACTAACTAAATTTCAACCCTTTACAATTTAATAATTTTACGTATACCAATATAATTTAAAATAAATCATTTAAAATTCTAAATTTAATCCAATTTACTCGTATAATTATCTTTAAAAAAATGATATCTAACAAATTGTTATTCAAATTTTAATATTTATAATTTTTTTTATTGTGAAATTGTAATATTTTATTAAAAAAAAAAACGTGCAAAATCAATTCAATAACCATACAAATATATTCATAAAAAACATATAAATATAATTTTTTATTGAAATTACCATACAAATAAATATAATTTAATATACCCATTCCCAAACAGAAGGACGTTAGGCAATTTCCGAATTTATGCCCGTGATATGTGGGGAAATTAGGATAGCAAAATCATTATTCATGTCTTGTTCTGCTGTCGAAAATTATCTGCGATAATCACGGGAAGGGAAAACTGATTAAGACATTTTTTTTTTGTTAAGAACTTGAGATTCAAACTGCATATGTGAAAACTCACTTCGGAGGTTAATTTAGTCTACCACCAACCATTTTTTTTTCTCATTTTTCTTGGGAGAACGACTGATAAGGTTGATTTAATTTGTCTCATAAAGAGAAAGAGGGGTTTTTTTTCAGCATATGTTTTTTTAGGTTTTGAGATCTTTGAAATTGAATGACACAGGCAATCATGGTCTAAATTGACAGCCCCGCTCATCAACTTGGAAGTCGAGGACTTGCTAGGCTTGGTATATTTATCAAAGCTTTTCTTTGTTTAATGTCATTCTCCCTCCCCGAAATACAGTTCCATTTACCAAACCCTAACTTTTTATGAATGACAAAATCACTTGCTATAAATATTTTATTTAGGAGACTGCTACTTAACGCTCCTTGAAAAATACTTTTTAGAAACACTTTTTAAAATTCAAGGGTATTGAATTTAGAATTTAATCAAAATATTTTCCCAACTTTTTTAAGAAATGGATTTTTGCAAAGTTCATGTTTAAGATTTAAACTTATCTTATAAGCAATTTCACTTTGCATGCGCATGAAATTGGTCAAGTTCTCAAATTTATAAAAGTATAGTCCCAATTGTTGGCTTGATTTTGATTATAAGAATTTCAAGGTATTAAGACTTTTAAAATATAGATTTTGCACGTATAGTTTCTGCCAGAAAATTATTTTCACTTTCAGAATGGACAAACACCTATAAAGTAGCAAAATTGAAAAGCTTAAAACTAGTAATTCAATCCAAGCAACTTGTTAATTGTGATGAAACAAACTAACGAAAACCAGAGAGAGAAATGAAAAAGAAATTAAGGAAAAAGCAGACTAAAAGCCAAAAAAAAGAAAAAAAGCTTACGAGGATTGTTCATGCATATCCAAAATCGAGCATACTTTTCTTTTTCTACAACCAACAATAACAATTGGAAAACCGTATAATTTATGTATTCATGTTATGTCGGTTTTATATTAAATATATATAAAATATAATAATTATTATATTATAATTTATATTCATACATTAAATATAAGACATATTTTTTTTTTAAAAAATTTTCTATAGTTTTTATTAAAATTTTAAATTTATTAATTTTATATATTTTTTACATCATTTTTATACCGTGTGTTAAAAATTATCGAACTCATACGCTACTAGTTCAAGCTCATTTTCCATCACTTCGGCTTTTAAGTTTTGTCCTTTGCCTTCTTTTTAGCTCGACTTCGTTCATTGAAGGGTGATCTGCCTATCCTTTCTTTAGCCTTCTCTATTATTAGCAAGGAAAAGTCTGTAGCGACCAATGAGCGAGTTTTGCCCTTTTTCTTTCAACAGAAATACTTTATGCATGCAAATTATACCAATAATATAAAGCAGGTTAATTTATAGCGGCAAAAAAACTGTGTTGGTTTTCTTGTAAACGCAGTTTAGGATCGATCAAAGTCGTTTTTATACATCCGTTTTGATGTTTTCGCACTAAATTTTGCTTAACCAAGAATAGGCCAAATCCAGTTGCGGTCTATCATTCTAACAGAATAAGATTGTTTTGTCCATTTCAAAAATAAAGTTCATACATTGGATTTTATCAATGTTCTTTTTACTTACAATTAATCACAGTTGGATTTTCGAATAAATCCAGTCCTGGAAAAACCTTATACATTAACCCAAATCAAATATCACCTAGGTGCTCTTTTCCAATACACCTATTAGAACAAGGAATAGCGATAACACTTCGCGGTCTTAAATCCGTTCTTTTATACGGAATAAGTAGATGTAATTTCTGTGGCTGTATGAAACTCCTCAGGCTACCAATGTTCAATGTTTCTCAACACCAACAAGCAATTAAACGGAAAGCAATCTTCATTAATTAAGAGATCAAATGAATTTTTTACACACTCATAAATGAAAGAAATGAACACACAAAGCGATGAGAATGAGTTTGTATCTCATGCTCATCTCCTCAGTTCTCATGTCTGAAAGGAATGGAATGGCAATTTTGCCAAACAATTAGAGTCAATAGAAAAAAAAAAAAAGAAAACAATTAACAAACTCTCTGGTACAACCAAAACAGTCAGAGCTGTTGTAATTTGCGAAGATGCTCCAACAATGAAGTAGCCTTCCGCTTGGCCCTCTCCGTGCCACTCCCGGTAAGCTCTGTCAAGGGTATGGCAGCACCAAGCCTACTTATGTAGGCAAGATTCTCCGTATCTCTCTTACACAGAGAAAGTAAAATGGCAGCTGCATTTTCTTTGTTGCGGGGCAAACCTGTTCTTAAAAGATCAATCAAAACAGGTATGGTACTTGCCTTTAATATAGCTGCCTTAGCATCATGGTTGCTAGCAAGAACAGACAGTATTGTTAAAGCCTCATCAACCATACAGTTTCTTGTATCTGTGAGCATCTTCAGCAGCGCTGTTATGATTCCAGCTCTGACAGCCCTGCCCTTATTCCCCTGATAAATACATAAATTGAACAGAGCAGTTGCAGCATCTTTCTTCCCTCTAGTGCTCCCATGTTGTAGCAAATCTACCAAAGCTGGTATTGCCCCTGATGCACCAATTATTATTTTGTTCTCATCTGCAAGTGACAAACTAAAAAGGGTGGCTGCTGCATTCTCTCTTGCTTCCATGCTTCCAGCTCTGAGGACTTGGACAACGGAAGGAATGGCACCAGCAAGCATTATAAGAGACTTGTTATTTGCAAATATGGAAAGGTTAAGAATAGAGGTTACTGCATGTTCTTGTAATGACACATCGTCTGTTGTTAAAAGGTTGACTAGAACAGGTATTGCTCCTGCATCTGCAATCAGTATCCTGTTATCTGTGCTTCTTTTAGACAGTGAACGGATTTCAGCCACAGCAGCCCTACATTCCTCTAAGCACCGGCTTGACAGCTTACAGACCAGAGCCTGGATGGCTGCCATGTCGCCGCTAACATCACGGAAAGATCCATCACTCTTTTTAAGCCTACCATTTGCTAATCCGCTTGGCTGCTCAATATTATGTTTAGCACACCATTGATTTATCAGACTTCTCAGAACATAATTAGGGGTTAGAGTTAAATTTTCCAGCTTCTGCTGAGTTTTCGGACATGTTACGTTGCCACAATCTATCCATCTCTGTATATAAGATCTCTCATATGTCTGTAAAATCAAGATGACTAATCAATAGACAGGATGAAAAGAGACGGCTAGAAGGCAAAGGTTGACCACAAAAAAAGAAACATAGAAATGATGAGCAGTAGTTGTCGTAGAAATGATAAACAGTAGTTGTCGTGGCACACTATACCTGCCCTGTAGCCACAATCACTGGATCCCTCATTAGTTCCAAAGATATAGGGCATAAAAAATCATCAGGAATTACTAGTGCATCAGGCTTCTTTGTTTCTCCAGTACCCTTAGTAGCCACATTGTCTTGCCCTTTGGAATTAATTTCATTTAATAGGCTGACCTCAGAAGAGGTTGAAGAGCTCTTCACTCTTTCCAATATCTTAGTTGCCTTATCTGCACCATGTCTTAGAGTACCACAATTTTCTGGAATGCTATCCAGCTTTGCTGAAATTTCATGATTGGTACCACCACATTCTTTTTCCAGCGGCTGGGACAGGCCATTAGAAACTTTTCTGGAATTCAAAGATCCATATCTTTCTGCTGCTCTTCTCAATTGTGCTCTCACCAATGATACCTGGGAGAAAAAAGTTGATGTTAAAAACGCAAGTCAATATAGAAAAAAAAATGAAGAAAACGTATAAATTCTGGGGCTAAACCTGTTCTCGAACCTCCTCTGAGATTTGAAAATGATCATATGGGATTTTCCCTAAAGCTTTCTCCAGCTTCCATGTAACACATTGAAATTGGAAAGAAATTCTTTTGGCAGCTCCATCCTTAAATAAAGATATAGCTAATTTCAGTGGCGTACCTATAACATTACATATTAAAAACAAACGTGCATAAACACAATAAAATTCCAGTAACAGCAGCTATTCTAAACCCCCCCCCCAAAAAAAAAAAATGAAAATTAAAATATCCCTTCTGCATTTTTCATGATCTCCAATTCAGTTGATTAATTAGAAATGCTACATTTACCGAGACGAACACTGTCAATTGACAACAATTGACTAAAACACATTGTGCTTCTAGTTCATATTAACTCAATATTTTAAGCCCCAAATTTTTTTTTCAAAGTGGGGTTAATCTAACACAGTTAAAGCAAATTGACCCAGAAATTAGCATGTGGAAAATTTCCTTGCCCCGAAGAAAAAAAAGTCGACTAATTCTATCAATTTTGCATAAGAATTGACCCCTTCACTGAAAATCAAAATGAAACATATTACTAGTATTTAAGTGGTAAAAAATCTGGCACTGCAACATATCAACAGTAAAAACGTATCAAAATTTATAGAATCAAATAATCCAATCAAACAGAACTCAAGTTTTTTATAAAAAAAAAAAGAAGGAAAATAGGAGATGGGGCTTTACAGAGGAATTATTGGAATTGTAGGTGGAGGCGACGATCAAGAGACGCTTAGCAGCCTGGAGAGCCACGGCCAGATCAGGCGACCATGAAGAAGCAGAGGAGGAAGAGGAGGCGTGATCCTGATCATGATCAGACGGTCGAAAATCTCTGATATCCTCAAGCAAATGCATGAAGAGAGCTATCCTCCTTACCAGATCCGTGCAATCCCTTTTAAACGCGACATTGACGTTATCAGTTCCAGCAGCGACATTACCGGAGACGATATCGAGGACAAGCCGGAGCAAGAATGCGGGAGAAGCGTCGCCTGCTTGTGTGGAGGAGGCGACTCCGCCGGCCATTTTGTGAAAACCAGTCATCGGCTCCTGATTGGATAGAGACGAGTAAAAAAGAGACTTTTTTTTTTTATTAACAAAAAGTATTGACGAGTACAAGGAAAGGCGGAAGCGGAAGCGGAAGCTGCCTTTTGAGAGGAAAACGATAATAATAATAATAATTGATTTGGAGGGCTAAACAAAGCGAGAGAGGGAGAGATTCGCGGAGGCAGAGGAAAAGGAAAGAAAAGATAATACAGTTGGATTTGGAATATTGTGAATTGTAATACCACAACTATACCTACTACACATTACTCAAGATTAGCCCCTTACTACATTTCCACTAATCCTATTCTGTTTCTCATGTCCGTTTGTCATATAATTCTAACAACCACATATACTGTAGGCCATACATAAATAATATATTGAATTTTTTCCCCATTTTTATATTTTTCAATATAATTTTTTAACTTCAGATAAAAAAATTTATATCTATATATTTTTAATTTATCCTAAAGATATATATCACTTAATTTTAATATAGATAAAATATTTTTTGATGATATATTCCAAAGCATACGTGTTTTAATATTCTAATTTTTGGTGAAATTTAAAAATTTTATGGATCATTTCTTAGAAAATTTTTTACAATATAATAATAAAAAAATGAATAAGCTCCTTGCCAGGCTGTAAAGTCATTCATTATTGTCGTATTTTCATTTTGTCCCCCACCATAACTTATTGACTAAAATAAACTCAAAAAGAATGTTTCCAAAATACTATACTTCCTTTATCTTACTTTTTTTTGGGATGCTTTACAATTTCTTTTTTTTTTTTTTTTTAGTTTTAACAACATAATATTTTACCTTTTATATTCAATATTACTCTCTTACGTTTTTTTTTTAATATTTTTCTAAAATTAAATTTTATCGAGAATATATCACCTCAATTTGTCTATTATTTTTTGGGTTTACTTTTGAATTAAAATACCTTCTTTCCCAAATTTTTTTAACTTTGATTTAATGATGGTAAACTCGTACTATTTCAATTTTCAAGGATTAAAACTCTTTCATTTAGTTTAGAAAAAAACATGCTTAACAAAAAGAATCAAGATTTATGGACTTTGTCTACATATAATTATTGGATTCGAAGTACTCTGACGAGCGAACTGGCAATGATCCGAAGACAGGCAACCACGACGAACTAGACAACAACTACAAGGGACGGCTACCAGCTGTATGTCTGATTTTCCGCCGCTAATTTTTAGTCCTTTTCTTAATTACTTTCTTTTTATTTTTTTCTCCCCTGGCTATATATAATTTATTTCCTGTCCAAAGGGCGGAGAGACTCAAGGGGCAGGCCGAGGCCAACTCTGAAGTTTTATTTAAATATTCATACTTTACATGTTTCAAATTTTGCATAAATTCCTATCTATTATTAATTTTTTTATATAAATGTTTTATTATTTACATTTTGTATAAGCTAATTTTGAATTTAATTCATTTACTAATTACCTTTCCATTTTAAATTAAGAAATATTATAGGAATGTTTTGGATAAGGTTTATAAGAAACATTCAATAATGTACAGTTTCAAAAGAAATATTGAATGCAAAATCTCATTACCATTCAATCAGTGAAAAAAAAATGGTTTTCTTATAGGTTATGTAAATTTAAAACTTAATACTATAATTAGCATGACGGTTATTTTCCAAGTTAAAAAAATTTGCATGAAATTTGGAAAGGTAACTTTAATCCCCAAAAACATGGTTTGAAAAGGTATCAATCTAGCAGGGCTTAAATGTTAGAGCTTGAAGTTCTAAGTTTAAGAATTATTGTGTATGAAATTTATTCAATTTTATATTAATTTATGAGTTTCGCCTTTTAAAAAAAAAAAATTCTTAATGTGCACTTAACTCCTTAATTTCTATTTACTATTTAATTTATCTGATAGTAATATTATGCGTTTAAATTTTTTGAAATCTGTAATATTTAAAAGTCTAATTAGAATGCATATCATCTAAGCTAATACTCAATTAGCTTTACTTGTTTATTTTTAAGTGTAATAATTATGTATGTCATATATGTTGAATAATACTCAATTATATTGTAATTTCTACTCTGTGATATATCTTAATTATAAAAAAAAAAAAGATAAAAGTATCAATTTAATATCGTTTTTTTCATCTAAGTTTAAGTTTTTATTAAATGTTTTAAATTGAGAAGTTGTAATTACCTAACTAACTCCAACTAGTCATTGCTTATAAAATCTTGAATTTATGCCCTAATAGCACTATATATATATATATATATATATATTCTCAGATAGAATAAGTCCATAAATATTAAGCCATGAAACATTAAAAAAACTCAACGAGATAAATGGAATTAGATGTTCCTTTGTACGTGCATGTGTAGATTTATTTCTTCTTTCGGCATTTAGGCTTTGTTTGGAATCGCAATCTGCTATATTGGCACTTCAATTTGTTGGATTTCCAAATGCACTTTAATTGTACCAAAAACATATATCTATAAATATCAGAAATTAACAAAGTATGTATGTATGTATGTATATATGTATGATCAATGAATGATTGATATTAAATAAAATGAAATATGCCAATAAAGCAATAACATTTAGGAATACATACTGATACCTTTAAAATAAGTAATTCCTTATTATAATATTAATATAAAACAAGAAATATGAAAAGAATTTTTTTTTTCAAAAAAATGATTTATTTAAATTAGTACTAAAATTGTATTATAAATATATACAATGATTTTTTTTATAAAATTATAAATACAAATAAAATAAAAAAATCAATATCATATAAAAAATTAAAATAATAAATTAAATACACAAACCAATTAACAAATAAATAAATATACATAGTTAAACAGAATTCAATATAAATTCGATCCAACACCACACATGATGGATCAAGACTTTGAGGGTTCTAAGTTTTTTTTTTTGGTCATTGAGCTAAAGTGTCTAGGCCATATTTTGGTTATTTATTTTATTTTTTATGTTAAAGCCAAAATAACTCCGATTTAAACATTTTGCATGTTCATATCCTTAGGGATAACAGTCAAACCCATTTTTTGGTGGGTTTTGTCTAGATCTTTTAGTGTAAATTTTTTTTTTAAATCGAATTTCAAATCAAATCAAATAATAATAAAAAAAATCAAGATTAGATCAAAGTTAAATTTAAATAAATTCGTTATGACTCGATTTAATATATATAAATATTTTTAATTATTTATTTATTTTTATATTTTAATTATTTATTTAATTTTATATTTTTATTAAAAATAATATTTTATTAATTTTAAGTCTAATTCAAATATAAAAAATAAAATAAATTAAAATATTATAAATATAAAATCAAATCAAATTCAAAATTAACAAAAACATATCTCATTTCAATCGATTACCATCCTTACATGGGCCAATTTCCAAGGTTTTTTTTTGGCTCCACCCTCTACTTTTTCCCGGAGTTTGCCCGATAAGGCCGGGCGTGTTCCAAGCTAGCTAATATATGTCATTTTTCCGTTATATTTCTTCCTTTTCTAGTCAAACAAACAGAACTGGAACTTGGGTTTTGCAGTGGAATTACAAATAGATAATAGTAGTTCACACACTGCTCTGCTCGGCAAGTTGGCTGTTTTGACAAATTCCATTACCTTTTAAACTGTCTCCAGAACCAAAAAGGAATCTCTCCCTTTTTGTTTTGTTATTCAACACGGAGAGTGCTGAGTTTCTATTCTATTGACAATTATTGAATCATGTTCTCGATGTGAGCTAGCTTGCACCTACTTCTTTTATTCACTTTATTAATCTTTTCTTTATTTGTAGAAAGGATTTCCAACTTACTTTTTGAGCATAAAATCATTCACCAATCAAATCAAAAGTTCGAATGTGACTATTTTTTTAATTGTTAATGAAGAGGATCCAAGAGAAAAATACTATAAATTAACCAATCTCCTCACCTCGATTACATTGCTTGCTCTTTTTCTTATCAATTATTATTTTTATAAACAAGGAACTAATTTTAACTACATCATGGTTGGAGAAGTTTTAACTGCTAAACTGAAATTTTCGGCCTGATTACATGCAAAATTAAGTATAAAAATTGTCTCCATGGAGTTGGTAAAACTAAACTAATCCTAAGTAAAAAAATCAATAATATATTTAAATCTTAACTCAATTTAACCTGATTCAATAAAAAAAATTAATTTAAAACCGTTCAATCCAAAATTTTTAATAATTTGATTGAACTCGGCTTAATCCAAAAAGATTCAAAAACTAACATAAAAACTCCAGCTTAAAATATTTTAATTTTAATTTGATTGCATATAACATAAATTATTAGTCTATTAATAATTTTAAAAAACAATCTTTTCGAACTTGTATGTAAGAATATAGTGTAATTTATTATTTATAATTGTTAAATCAAATTCTGAATTTATAAATATTATTTATATTTTAAAAAATTATTAGATACAATAATGAAATTTTTTAATTTTACAAAAGGAATTAAAATGAAATTTTTTAAATTAATTTTTTAAAATATATAAAAAAATATGTATTATCATTTTAATTTTGCTTATAAAATTAAAAAATTCACTATTAATGTATTTGATAATTTCTCTTATATTTATATAATTTAAATATTATTTTATTATCTTTTCAATGAAATTCTAACGTTCAAACATTATAGTGTCTATGAATCAAAACAAAACAAATCAGCTCCAAAAAAATAAAATAAATTGATATTTTAATATTTTAAATATACTTTATAAAAAATTTTATTATTAATTTTTAAATGTTTTGGGGGTAAGTTAAGTTATAACTCATGCTCAAACTTAAAAGTCAAAATTTAGTGATGAATTAGGCAAATACAATAAATCCATAAAAACATTTGTAGGCCGAAAAAGCCCAATAACATTTGTCGGCCGAAAAGAGTCCAAATCTTAGTGCTCGTCTCCCCAACGCACCTTTCCACCGTGCCAAACGATTGCCGAGCAATCAGCTTTGTAATTTTGTCACACAACGATGGTAGCTAATTTGTTTGCCAAAATAAGAGGCCTTGGATTTTAAGTATTGTCCGCTCTTTGTTGGCATTATTATTGTTGTGGGCTTTTAATGGTTAAAAATGTATACTAATTTTTTTTTAATTTTAGAAGTTTTCAATAGATAATCATAAGTAATTTTGATATTTGTGTCGACTTGACATATCATATCGATTTGATATTTTCAATGTCATGTCAATTCGATAGTGTTTTTATTGTCCTCCAATAATCCCTTATCACTTATTTATAAATATGAAAGTTTAGGCACCATGAAAGTAACACACACCACTTTATCTTTTTCTTATGAC